CCGGTGTCCTGAAGAGTTTAGCTCCAACCCCAATTAAACACACCTGAACCAGCTAATCAAGCTCTTATAGGCATACTAGAAACTTGAAAGCAGGTGTGTTGAGGCAAGTTGGAGCTAAACTCTGCAGGACACCGGCCCTCCAGGACCGAGTTTGGGCACCCCTGATATAAAGTAATCATGTCTCTTTATAAGGCTTAAACCACTATGGATTACCTTTATTCCTATAATCTGCTCTCATACCTCTTTTCTGAACCTTGAACATTTTGGGTGACTATCAATGGAGGGACAGGAACGTCAGAGATTTAAAATAAAAATATCTGTCATTTGTGTTTCAAAACTCTTATGGGTTTGGAACGACATGTGCGTGAGTAAATTATGACAGTGTGAACTATTCCTTCAAATGGTTGTGCTTATACAATAAAATGTGTTTAAAAGTGTGATTATGACATAAAAAACCATTATATTTCCTTAATGCCCGATACATGTAAATGCATCAAGGTAAAGGAACATATGTATGTGCCTCATAATCTGTAAAGATCAGACTGAAATGATCAAGGATAAAAAGAAAGATACAGTGTTTTCATAGTACAATGAACTCAATCTAAACGGAAAAATGTATTTTTCATGATATGACCTTGTCAAAAATGTATAAATGTCACTGCATAAGACAAAAAACGAAAATCAAACTAAGTGACATTTAAAGAAAGATGGCACAAACTGAACAAAAAAGGTTCAAAACTATAAAACACAGTGAAACATGACCATGGTTCATGATAAAATACACCAGTGGTTACTCTGCTAGGACACACAAAGTTCAAACTATATTTTTGCAGTTTATAATACAGTCAATGCCAAATTGCAGAGAGAGGGTCATGTTGACCATATCACTAACTACAAGGCTACCTTGGACCAGGCTAACTGATAGAAGCAGTAGGGCTATGCAAGGATTGGCCTTCATTCCCTGAACTCCCAAACAAAGGCTGAATGCGTGGAAGGGCTGATTCCTCTCAACTTTTTGAAAACAAATCAACTTGTTATGTATGTCATTATGCCACACAGAAACTACAAACAAAGCCATGGTGTGTTTTTGATGTGTTGTGGAGCCCATGAAGTTAGACCACTGACCGTAGCTGGCATGCAGGTGGGGGTTGCGCAGGCGGCTGTCTTTGCGCAGACTGCCCACAATGATGGTGACGCAGGAGAGGAAGAGCACCAGGCCGATGACGATGCCAGCCACCACCAGAGGGGACACCAGCAGGCTGGCTTCATTACCCCCTTCTTGGCAGTCTGGGTACTCATGAGCATGACTGCTCAGGTTTGAGCTCACTGTATGGAGGAGATGGTAGATGTGTGGACGTTCGATAGAAGATAGGAAGATGGAAAGAAAAGAAGGGAAATAGGAGACAAAGATGAGATGGATGGTCAGTTTTTTAAGCACTTTCAATAGTTTACAGTAGCAGGTGTTACATAATACACAAAATATACATTTTCTTCTTTCCCACACAGATAGAGAGATCATACTGGTGTGGGATTATGTCATTTAATAAATATATAATAGCCCTGCTCTGAGACACACACTCACACTCGCAAACCTACCTCTCTGAGGACCGCAGAACAGGAACGCTCCCCAGACTTTCATCCCTCAGTGGATTAGATTCTCAAGTCTGCGGTGTTTAAATTTTAATCCTGACCCATTTGAATTTTTAAGTATGTGGGGTGGCAGACTTTCGTGTCAGCTCGCGAGAAGCCCAACTCCAGCCATTAGCTCCTCTCTGACTTCTTTCACCCTTTCCATTAGGACCAGAGAGAAACCAAAATAAGCCACACACACTC